GGCAGGTGCTGCGGTGTTTTTTCTGTTGTTTTTTTTGGTGCTTGACTTTTTCTTTTTCGGTTGGAGTGCTGTCTCGGGTGGCATGGTAGTCTGGCGTTTCTATTATTTCCCACAGGACGATGCATTTTAGTAGTGTTGATTGTTCTGGTGCCATTCCTGCGTGTCCCTCGTTGATGCTCCACCACAAAAGACCTCGTCGCTCACAAGACCATCGATGAAAGGAATCCTGCGGTCATGGCGCGGCAGCTTTCTCGACCGGCATGTCTACCTCGCCTCTATCTTCTACAGGTCGACTACACCGCATCGCCCTTGGGACCGGGAAAAACCAATAGAGGCCGTGCGCCCTGTACGCCTCGTGCGGCGTGGTGTTTTGTTTTCTGCTGTTCTTCGACACGCGCCCCGTCTCAGACTGGGCGTGCGACTCCACCTGCTTCTAGCGCACAGTCTCGAGGCTCCTGAGATGGAGCCCCCTGGCGTTCGTTTTGTTTGGCCAGCCGCCATTTGACGAGCAAATCGCAACGAGGCTGGCGACCGCCGCGTCCTGACGACCGAATGTTTCCAGAGCCTGAATCAACACAAGATTCACTACAGTGTACAGGGTGGTAAGTAAAAAATGCAAGGTGGCGTCAATTAGCCTATGGAATCCTGTCCCGTCTACCAAAAAAAAAAGTGTACTATAATCCACAATGAATAGCCTGTCTCCCTAGATGAAGACCCAGATCCGATCCCAACAACCCCTCACGTGGCAACAGTTGAGCGTCTCTGACGCCTCATGTATGCCGCAATGTCCTTTCGAGACCTTCATTGGAAGGTTGGTCTAAACCGGGAACCCTCCGTGATTTGTCAATGGTGAAGAAGGCGCTTAAGCTCGGAACTCCATACGCTTCTTAAGGCGGTAGGCAATGGCACGCTTGCGGCCGGCGGCAGACTGTGTGAAGGCAGCAGAGCCACCAAAGGGACCAGCAGCGGCACCGTTGCGAACACGGACGACGCAGACGTTGTCGGCGCCGCCGACGGAGGCATCGCAGGTCATGCCAGCGGGCATCTGAACCACGAGGGGGAACTCAGAGTTGGTGGCCAGAGACAGGCCCTGGTTGCCAAAGGGCAGGCCGGGAACGTCAGTGCTAACCTCGGCAGACTGGAAAGCGGCGGCGTCAGTGCCGCCAGAGGTGCCGTCAATATCGGGCCGTCAGCGGACCAGCACCGTCCTGGTTGATCTGGCGGAAGGTCATGGTGACAGCACCGCTTGTCGGACGCCGTAGGAAGACCGCTGGAGGCACCCTGGCCGGCAGAGGCAGCGACCATGGTCTCGGGGGGGCCATCAACGGCGTTACCACCGCCACCGAAGAGACCGCCCAGCTGACGGCTGACCCAGTTCTTCGCGCGCTTGTTGTTGTTGTTCCTGCCACCACGTGCACCCTGCTGGTTCTGGGGGATGTTGTCTTCCTGGCCGACAGAAGAGGCCGCGCCGTTGTTCTTGGGGGCGGTACCGCCACCCATGAAGTTGGCAATCATGGTCTCGGCCTTGATGGGGCCATTGCCCTGAGTACGGCCAAGAGGGCCAACCTCGCCGGAGCTGATCTCGCGGTCCCTGATGATGGCCGTATCGGCCTGAGAGCCGCAGCCGTTGGATGAGCAGTCACGGGGCGTGCCGTCCGCAACAGACAGGCCAGGCATGCTGACACCGTTGGCTCCCTCGATGGACTTGACCATGCCGTGGGCGTTGGCAGTGACGGCCAGAGCGGCGATGAGGAAAGTCTGGGAACGCATTGTGAAAGTATGTAGAGGGCTTCGAACTAGAAGATGGAGGGAGGACAGAAGAGTGGAAATGGTACAGCAAAGTGAATGCTCTCAAAAGGCCACCAGGGCGAAGAATGGAAAATACAAGGAATAGTGTAGGGAAGACTGCTTGATTATCGTGCTTGAGGATGGAGAGGAGAGAGAAGAGTGTTGAGGGAGGCTCGGGGCAAGATTCTTTATACAACTTGGATGAGGTTGCATCAAGGGCCTGGCACCAGACTTGACAAATCCCATAGGCTTGAGCAAAGACATGAGATGGTAGGTGCAACTTGGTGTTGCGGTTTGCATCTCGGAATCAGATCTTTCCAGGGGTTGTGCGCTTGCCGTCTGTTCCTTGTTGCTTCTGTGCTTCTGTGCTCCTGAGCAGCGCGCGCGCTCCACGACGAGGCCTGAGGTGAGGTCCGTGAGGCATGCCGTTTGTTCCCGACCGGGAAATCCTGTCTAAGCTCCAACCCCCCTAGCTTCGTATCATTGAGTGACAGGCCACCGTCAGCTTCGCTCGCCCACAGACAGGTGTTGTGTGTCGTGGCAAGGTTGAGGTCTTGTCGGAGAGAGGGCTGAGCCTCAAGGAGGATCTACGAATCGCATTCTCCATGTGGAGAGGGATACACATAGGTTGACCGGGAAGGGCTGACTACAGCGGGTGTAGTTCTGGCGGTGATGTCGGCGTCGGCAGGGGTCTTTGATGCTGCATGAAGTTCGCCTGTGCGCTTCCGGGTTGGTTTCACGATGGGGCTTGGCCCCCGGGTAGGGGTTGTCAAGGAACTCGAGGTCGCGATTGGACCAGTGCGCGACGTTTTGAGGCAGCCCCGGTTGCAAGGCTCCAGCAGAGCGATGTGCAGTTTCGTAGATCTTACGGATGTGCTGCAAATCCGGGGGCTTGCCGCGGTAATGGCTCATCCTCTTGACTTCGAAAGAAGAGCGATGTAAACATCCAAACATGGTCAAGTTGTAATATGGTCGTTTTGTGGTTAGGTTCCTAGCCGAATATTGAGCATGACTGGGGACAGTTCATACTCTAGGCCAGACAGCAGGGTTGCGGTTGGCAGCGTCATCGCCATCGATGCCGGACGAGCTTTTCGATGCTCTGGAGCCGCCGGTCATCTGTCGGTCATAGGAATGCACAGCGGCATCATTGGGCCTTCTGAAACGATGGCCAGGCTGGGAGTCAAAGCTCGCGGCTCTCCGCTCGCCCCATCAACAAAGCAAGGGACGCCAGGATATGGCGACAATAGACCGCCGTGCCGGGGCTGATGACGTTGAGCATGGATCTGCAGCGCAACAAGCTGCGTTGTATGTTCGTCGATGGCCCTCGCGCCTCGAGAATGGCGTCGGATGGCACGAAGCAGCCAAGTCATCGCCGTCAAGCCAGACACGGGATCAGATAGCCGAGTCGCGTCGTCTAGCTGCCATTGGTGCCGAAGGCATCGCTCGCTCTGTACACGAGTGGCGTAGATTCTGTCAAGGCTTGTTCATCTTTGTCAACCCGACGAATTGTCGTATCTCGCGATGTAGGTTGGGTCGAGGGAGTTCCAATCAGAACGTCCAGGGCCTGTAGGCTGAGGCAAGTGCACCCCGTAGACAGCCCCTTCCCGTTTACCCAGAGCACCGCAGTGGCTGCTAACCCTGTCGCTGCACGCGGATCATGGTGAATCCACAAGGGGGCTGCTGGTGGTTCTAGGTAAGGTACCGGGGTTAGGTAATCCCCCTGGTCGCTAAGATCGGATCCGCAGGTGGGTGCCCTGCCCCTGTTGCTCCTGAACGGGCTGTTGCTTCTCGCTCCGGCGCGCTCTGTGCTCCTCCACCTAACCTTATCCAGATGCCCCCTTTTCCACTTCAGGCTCGCTATCCACCCACCTGAACGTCAGGTTTTGCTTTTGAGGTCGCCTCAAACAGTTGCTTCGTCTGGAATTCATCCGTTCTCTCATCCCTCGACGACGATACGAATTTGCACGTCTCTCTGCACACCCACCAACTGGTCTAGCTCGTTCCAGCCCGGAGCCCTCCTCGATCCACAGACTGCCTCGTCCCCTTTTGACGTGTGCGTCTTTGCCCATCCCAACTTCCTCGAGAATGGCACGCCAAGCTCGTCTTCAAGCAAATCGTCCAGAAATTTCAGTGTATACCCTCTCGGAGCAACGGCTGCCCATCGCAAGTGTTACATGCAGAGTCCCGAGAAAAGCGAACGCGAGCACCCTTTCATGCCTCTCGGCGCCCAGGAATACTGACCGCCGGCAAGGTCTCTCTCTCTCTTGGCGTTGATTCAGACGGCAGATTGATCTCGCCTCGAACGTCGGATGATGCACTTCTCGTGCTTTTCTCCAGGCCTCTATCTCGCCTCGTCTCCTAATCGAGTCTGTTCCGCGAATAGGATGTGGTGAGCGGCTCTCGGGAGGAAGGCGCCTTGCTGCCCAGATGGCATTACGGAAGTCGAGTACGGCATCATGTGATGTTTGAGGAGTCACTACATTCAGATGAAGAAGTTATGACTCCACGCTGCCGTATATCGTACGAGATAGCCCGTTCAGAGATTTTGACAGTCATTACATCGTGGCAATTCCAAAGCAGCAGCCCCAACATGTCAAGCATATCTTCATTGTGTATACAGTATCACCATATCGGGAATCATGATTTTTATTTCAACTCATCTCCTGTGTCATGCAGAGGTCCTCGTTTTCATGGACATTCTTATCATCATTGATAAGGTACACCATCAACCCAGAAACGGCAACTTAACTCTGATCTGCACCTATTACTGAGGCTCTCTGTCATAGAGTTGATGTAGCTTGTAAGGATGCCTTGGCTTCGTGCAATGTGCATCACGTCTGTGTGATAGTGGGATAGCGGTTCGGGCTGTGCTGCACGGAACGTGCAGGTGAACAACGTCACATATATGGGCTAGCCCACATAATGACAGCAATTCAACGAACCGACTCATTGTCAACCGAGGTGAACAGAATGACACCTAACAGCAATCAAGATCCAATGCTGTGTCCCCATAAATTGTACGTATAATGACCTAACGTCGACGCTCAACATTCGCCATATATGACGCCTCTCTAGTCGCAGTTGCTCCCCCCGTAATCCCCCTAGATAGACTCTCCCGCAAGTTTCTTATCATTCATCTGTGGCTTTCCCTGCACGGCCACTTCCTCATCATACGGCCGATGTCCAGCATCGACCCCTTTGTCGCTATAGCTGTCGGCATCGTAGGCCACACGAACCTCGTCCAGGTCGTCGCCTCCAACCTCCATCCATGTTTTGCTTGTGGCAGGGATGGGGAAGAAGTGGCACAGCGCCCAGTACATGGAGAATGATATGATGAACCCTCCAAAGAAGTTCACCCTGTAAAGATAGGATGCTCCAATGGGGACAGTCGCGCCAATTGCACCGGCAAAGCCAACCACATTGATCAAAATGCCGGCGATGTATGCCGCATATGCCCGCCAGTGGACGCCGAAGGTGTAGTAATACGGACTGTCCTTGCGACCACTGAACAAGTCTTGAACTTGCAGGTATCCGCGGCGCACGGCGTAGTAGTCTGAGCACATGACGCCAGCGATCGAACTGAGGAAGACGCTGTAAGCTGAGAGGTAGGTCGTGAACTGGTTCGAGCTTGACTGAAGAGGCAGCAGTAATCAGCATTCTGGTCATTGATCATCTTAGTTGGAACATACCAGTAGCTTCCATGGGCACATCGCGAGGCCGATCGCGGCACATACGTAGCTGAGATGCTTTGTTAACAATCGCTTGCTACGAAATAGCTGACGTGCAGATGCTATTTACCTTCCTCGGCGAATGTTGATATACCTGGGAAGCAGCGCAGTCATATCGGTGCCAGCAGAAATACTATTGGCTGCAATGTTCGTCTATTCAACAGCTTGTCAGTGGCAGTTTGTTTGAGGCATGTTGGCGAGGGTACTCACGCCGAGTTGGGCCAACGCGAATGCCAGGCCAAGAACGAAGACTCCAAATCTCTCGCCAGAGTTGCCTCCATCGATGAATCTCTCAAGAACCTCGAGTGGATCCCAGATGGGGGCGCCATAGAGGGCAGCCGACGCCGAACTGACCAGGATGCCGATCAATGACGTGACGGCAAATCCGATTGGCTTCCGAGCTCTTAGTATGCATATCTCGGAAGATGATTAGAATGTGAGGGACTCACGATTGTGCACAGCTGCGACCAAAGTGCATCTCTGGGTTTGATAGCAAAGCGTGTAAAATCAGGATCGTTGACAATGAGCTAGAGTGTATACTGGTTAACTCAAGATCTTCCGCGAGCTGAATAGCTTGCAGCCCATGAAATGTTTAGGTTTTAATATGAGCTCAGAGGCTCTGAAGATTGAAATCCCAATGACTCACTGTTGCGAAGTTGGCGATTGAAGACATGACTCCGGAAACAAATGCCCAGGACCATTCACTGCCCTTGGCTTGGGCGGGCTGTCGAATCATGGCTCCCGTGTTACCAGCCTTTGCAATAGTCCACCCCATAAAGGCAAAGCCTGCTACAGGGACGACATAGGACTTGACAGTGAAAAGATGGCGCAGTTTGTGCACCGGGACGTATAGGAACTTATAACAGTCAGCACTGATATTAGACTGTGCCTAGCCTTAACGAGCACAAGTGGCAAGTACTCAGGAACACGGCATGAACGAAGGCTCTCAGCTTACAGGTAGTGAGATCAACCAGAAGAGGAAAAAGGAGACGAAATCTGCTGTTGTGGTGTCTGTGAACGCGTTGCTCGGAATTCGTTCACGATCCTGCTGCGATCAGTTTCCTATTGCATTCACAGTTTTGCATTCAATAATTGGTCTTGGTCTCTTACCCAGCTTTTCCAAATCGCTCTTATCATTACGTAGATGCATCGGCCTCCGATCCAGGACTGAACACCATACTACTGCAGGTCAGCTACATATTTCGAACTTATGCGCGATGAACGAGCGCGAGGGAGGGGATTTTTGCCTACCCATACGCATGCTAAGACAATAACGAGTCAGCTATGTTTCACTAGTGTGAAGCAGGATAGTGGAGCTGCCACGCAAATCCACGTTCCTTGATCCTCATGACTTACCCATGGCAGTTCTGTTGAATATGATCTTAAAACAAAGCAAATCAGCAAATCAGATCAAAAGTACGGGGAAAATTTGGTCAGATGCAAGGAGTAGCCAAATTTGCCCGGTCACTGGTTTGTCAGATGATTTACTCACCCAAAGTGCTCCCCAAATTCCAAAGGAGCTTCGAGCAACCACGGGGAATCCGATATGATAAACCGCACCTATGCGGCCGATGAGGACCACAAAGATACCAGCTATGAGGTACCCAAGCCATACACAAATCCAAGCTTGCCACCAGGAAAGCCCGGAGACTACCATTGAAGATCCGATCATCCAGCTGTTGATATTGAACGACTGGGCAGTGTTAGGCGTGTTTTAGACGTTGGCATGAGTGTGATGAGTGCTGAAAAGTGGAACTGATGGGCCAATGACTCCTAAGGTCGAAACAACCTTCAAAAAAGATTATAAGAGCTGTAGAGAGTCTCAGGGGTTGATGAGAGCCATCGGAGTCCAGCGGGGTGCTGCACCGTAGACCAGTGCAGGGGCAACAAGACTTCATGAAAAGTAGAGCACTTACGTCAGCGACCCAAAAGGCCACAAAGTTCCATGTTCCCCAAACTCTGCGAGCTTTCTCGACAGGCTTCAGATCATGGTTGATGAGCTAGGGTCGATCAGTACCTTTCTGCGAGGGCACAGCAAGATCGCGCGTCCTCACCATGAGCTGGGTGTTAGACAGTCCCTCTTCAGTCTGGTCTACGGCCAGTTTGTTGGCCCAGTGCTTCGTCTTTGACCCGTGCACGCGCTCCCTGACTTGTGGGCTGGTGGCCTCCATTTTGGCCTCTGGGTTCGATTTCTTCGCGAAACAAGCCAACTCAAGAACAAACAGTAAATGCTTGGCCAGATTGATTGAAGAGCTCTGCAATTCTTGAATGTCTTCGCTGGGCAGAAAAATTGCCGCGCTGACAATTGTGGTATGATGGTAGTCGCGGTGGAGCTTCGACGTTGTATGTCAGAGCTATGACGGAATGCCCAGTCCAAGAACCGGCCGGACAGTAAGATCCGTAGGAGGTTCTCCAACGTTTGGTGGGAGAGTCGTCGGTGCTGGCTGGTCGAAATACTTTCGACGTTGAGTGGCAAGGAACAGATCCCGTCGGGTGCGGTAGGGCAGGTTGGAAGTGAGACAGGTACCGTAGATACACAGAGATGGATATATATATATATCGGTAGCAAAGCTCACATGCTACATAGCGCAGAATCCAAGGTTTGATGGGCAATCGGCCGCTTCCCAGCAATCATTGCCTATCTAGCTCGTCATGGGGGATAGCTCTGGTGGACCAACTGATATCGGGCCCCCACACGGCTCCAGGTCTCTCCAGTGATCCCTGTCGCACGCGTTGAGGTCGAGATCCCAAAGCCTACATGTGCTGTTCCTGTTGCTCCCCTCCAGCCAGAGCAGGCCAGAACGCGCCGGCGGCGAGACCATTTGACACCACATGCCACGCGACGATAATGCATGGCCGCACATCGGCAAGCCCGCTGTGCGCCACGCCAGCATAGAGAATGCAGACTACCACGGCTGAAGGGAGCTAGCAGACTCAAGCTTCGGGGGCAGCGCCATTGGCTTCAACCATCGGCATCTTATCGCCGTTCTCGTCCCCGGCCAGATGGGCGGGTTCTTGCGCGGGGCTTCATTGGGCGGGCACACGCAGCTTATCGTTCCAAAGTGACCCCGCCAGCGGGCTACCCATTACTCGATCTCATCGAGTCAAACTCAGCGATACGTCTGACGACATGGTACAGATTATGTTGACGCTCAGCCAATGATGCTGCCGTCGCATAGGTCCAAGGGATCAACCCCCCTGCAGTGTACCATGGACAACCCACAAATGAGACTTGTCGGGCTCTCGATCACGGTTGGGTCGAGGGTTCCTCGCCGTCCACAAAGGACTCGTACCACTTTACCCCAGAAGAAGGCTTGTCTTGTGTCCACTCCTCTCCCTTTAACCGTAGTAGGGATTCCTCAAGAGTTGGCTGCGTGCAGATAACGGAGTCCCAGCTGAGGGCTTAGCTTGGACCCTTGACAGCACCGGCACTTCACCAGTCTGCACCACGTTCGGAGCTCCCCCGCCCCCAGCTGTTTCGCCAATACAGTATCTCAATTGGGGAGGAAGGCCATCCGCGGCTGCGGGGGTGGGAAAGTCCGCGAAGGAAGCCCGATGTCGCGGACTGGGAAGGCCTCAAACCAATGCATCACATCTCCAGTGTCAATCCCAATCTAGACTATGTTCTCGAAGGCCCCTGACTGGCGCATCATGGTTGGGAAGAAGCCGCAACAGCAACATCGCGCCTTCCTCGGCCCCTGGCCAGCCGCGGCACTGCTTCCATCGCTTCGAGCTCGTTGATGCTTCAGGTTCTAGCCTCATCAAGGGCCCATCGTGAATTTCACCGAGAGCACGCTAGCAGCGCAAGAAGTCTAGTGTATTTTCCATCTACGGGCGAACGTGACCCGCTTATCGTGTTCTTGTTTGACTCGATGAGATCGAGTAACAGACAACACGCGGGTTGGCTCGTTTTCATGCGGTGTTCTGCATCTCCGGGTTGGGGTAAACGCCCGTTCAACACCATGTCGCAAAACTTGAGGTGCGCTACTCATGACCTGCATGATACTCGTGTCCACACAATCTCATGTCGGGGTTCAATTGTTTACCCAGCAGGGGCACCGTCTACTCAAGGTCCGAGCATGTGAGGATTGATTCTGGTCGCAGATAGGCACGTATGGCGCACGACAAGGGCAACCCTCACATCCGCATCTTTGTTCGACCTGACTATGTAGCCAATCTGTTACTTTTAACGCTCAATCTTCACATCCACAACGCGACCTCCATCCCTCAAAGCCTTATAAACACGACGCAGGGCACCAGCCCTGGTAAAAATCATGTTCCTCTCAGCGTCATGGGTCTTGACGACTGAGTCCATACCCCCCTTTCATGAACGAACCTACGGCCTTCAGCTCGCCGATAATCACCAGACCACAACGCTGGCGTGTGAACATGACGTTCGAGCGGTGTTCGTTGGACGTGAATAGTGGTCCAGTGGACTTGCTGGTGCCCATGACGACAATCACAATGTCGTTTTCGCGCCCCTGGTAGCCGTCAATGGTAGAGGTTCGGGCATATTGATGAGTGCGGCGGTATACTCGGGCCACTTCTTGCGCATATGTCCAAGGCCTTCAACATTGGCGGCGTATGGACTTAGCATGACAATGACCTTGGCCTTTTCGTGTTTGGTCCTGATTTAGTCTACGGCAAAGTCCACGGCTAGCTTAACTTGGTCAGGACAATTCCTAGATCCAGAACGCGGGTCGGTGCAAACGCGAGACCTAGGGCAGTTGATAAAAATAGGAGGCGTGAATGAACCCGAGTGCCGGGATGCCGCCGTCGAAAGCCAGGCGGTTGAAAAGGTTGCCGTTCGCGTCAGCCGAAAGCTTGGTCATCGCAGTACTCGAATGCTGTTAGTTATAAATTAAGTTGAGACGAGGAGAGGGAAAAGCGCGAGGTAAACAGTGCAGGATAACCCCTTTGAGGTACACTGTGAAGAGGCTCTTTCCTTCTAGGCAACATGATGCTGCTGTCTAGAATAAAAGCACTGCTGCTTGGTGTTGATATCACGGCGGCCCTAGTAGCGCTTAATGGCAGCTTTCACACGGCCGTAAGTGCGCTCACGCGCAGCTATCAGCTATCCAATCGAGCTAAAGTATACGTTTTGAATCAACGTTGGTATTCAATTGAGCTGGATTTATGAACGATACAGGGCAACGACTATTGCAGTAACGGTCTCACCCCTAAGAGTCGAGATCATAGTAGATGTGATCGAGGTATTTCATAAACTGCTCATGGTTGTAGCTTCGCTGGGGACCACCGGTCTAAGCACCGATTTATGAGGTGCCACAGAGCTCTTATGTGGGCGGTAGCGATGCGCATTCAACGCGATCTTGTCACGCATCTGCTGCGCCAAAGCTGCGCATTCTCTGCGTTACCCTGAGAACTTTTGCGGGTAGAGGAAGGGATACCCGAGAGAGCGCCGCGTGGGGGACTATTTTCGTACAAAGCTCGGTCATCGGTAGTATACTGGTGGTTGCAGGCATGTTTGAGGCGGCTGTTAAGCGCTTCAAACGATCTTCTCCCGTGCGTCGAACGTCGTTGTCGAGCATCTTGTTATTTGTTGGTTCGCCGCTTTGTTGCCACGAGTTCGGGTCCTTGTCCAGTGGGGGAAAGCTTGTATAGCTCATGGTCGGCGGCAGATCTATTACTATGTAGTTGTGGAGCATCTCGCTGGGATGACACCTGGGGGGATTCTTACGAGACGCCTATCAGACAATAGGTAAGGAAATGATACTTTGGCGAATGAGCCAGGGCCCCTTCACAATCTAGCTGCTGAGGCGCGGTGCGCAGACTCAGCCTTGTGGCTACCTGGCAACACCCCTGATAGTGCATTCATGTTCTGTGTCCACTCAGCGCGGTCGAGATGCACTTGGTAGACATCGCATGAACAGCAAATGCGCAGCGGTGTCAAAAGTTATACTATAGATCTGATGAACATATGATGGTGCGCACAACTGTGAGGCCTCCAAGTATGCACCGACTCTGAAGCCATCAAGCATGCACTGCTTCAGGCACTCAGACAAACAGCTCGATTGAGGCCCCCAGTCTTTATCGTCAAAAACGCACAACGCGTGACTTGCAGTATCCCGTTTTTGAATATTACCACGTTACGATTCAGTTCTAGTCGTATGCGACTTCAGCCCTCGCTGAGTAAGGCAGGACGACGTTGAATCAAGATTAAGCGATCTCTTGGCAGTCAGTTAAGAGCAGTGTGTAAGATAGGAGGGCGTCCTAGTCAGGAAGGTGGTTTAAATAGCGGGCATGTTGAAACAGGAAGTCAGTTTGTGTAGCAAGGATGTCTAGTTGAGAGGGAGGTTCAGTTCCAGAGTAGACATGATCATTTTAGACTTACGACTTCGCTTTCTTCGAGTTGAGAACATGTCTAAATATCGAGTCTGGGAACCTCAGAGTCAGATCAGATCTCGCAGCAGAACCTTTACATCCATCGCTTTCAGTTAACAATGTTCTTTCTGCGCCTCTTTGTACCACTTAGCCTTGCTCTGGGAGCTATCGCTGTCCCCTTGGACACCTCTGAGGTCCAGGAGCAGCTCCCCGACGGCCTCAACCTCTGCATTGAAGAAAAGAACTGCGAAGTTTACAAGCTCGACGACGGCGCATGGTCCTTCCGATACATCCCAGGTATGGAGCCTGGTACGGATTGGTATAACGAGCACGCGAACACCACGGACGAAATCGGCCCTCAGCCAGACGACGTTCTCGATAAGCGACATTCGCCATGCGACAGCAGCAACGGCAGAACATGCTCGTCTATCTGGGTCAGGCCCGACCGTACTCTATACGGCACACTCTGGCCCAGAACTGCCATTCAAGTGTAAGTGATACATTTCTGGCATCATCCCCGATCCTTTGAGAAGCCGATCTAACACTACACAAACGTAGCCTTGGGCATAACTGCTACGAATTTGGCTGTAACGTCGGCCAGATTTCGCAGTCGACGTCATGGTCGACTGGTGGCGGCCCCGGAACTATCCCCGATCAGCTACGTATCACGCCTAACGGTGTTTTCGACCCGTCCATCCGTTGGCATCTCATTGTTGCGATTCAAGATGTTCTTAGGGATATGACAACCAGTCATCGGGTTATTAGCGGTCACACTCATCATACCCCGCCATGGTCGGCCACGATGCACCAGGCGCCGTACCGTATCCACGTTGCTCGCTTCCGCAACCAGGCTATGCAGGGGGATCTGTCAGTGAACATTTCGATGCGAGGTGCCGGCGCTTGGGGATGTGCTCAAGTGCTGCAATACCTTGGTACAGCGATCGGGTACTTGAATCCAATGCTTGGCGGAGCTCTGGGCCAACTTTCGGCCTTCTGTGCCTAGGGAGCTGACAAGCGCCGTTCAGCAGAGTATATAACTACAGTACAGACATATAGCAAGCACCGTCGCATGACGAGGAATATACTTGGTGATACGTCTATACGGCTACAAGAACCAGCGCAGCATGACACCCCGAATGCGACCCCGGGCGACAGCATAACACAAGTACGACAAGATAAGAGAGCCAAGTACAGGGTCACACCATGGGACCACTGGGGACGGGAATCAAATGACGATGATCACGGCTTGATTATGATCACATGATCAACTATCTAAGGATCTTGATTTTAGTAGCCTACACATATCAAAGTTTACAAAAGCTCCCCTTGA